CAATAAGTGCTCCAAAGACTAAATATTCCAGAGAATACTTAGTGGTTCTGAGACCAGATTAGGGGTTTCAGACCCCACCCCACCCCCATCGAGAATAGCAGAGAATTAGCCTAACCCTGATTGGGTTCAGACCCCATGACCAACCGTTTTGGATAGCCTAGATACTTAGCTTGCAGGTCAGCCACTGTGGCTTCTCCTCTTTCCCTCACCCTGCCTCTGATACTTCAGACCTCTAGGCTGAATGTCTGAGAATTCAACACTAAAATGACTACATCTTTTTCCTTCTCTGGGTACTGTAGGGAGATAGGAAGTACCAGCTTTAATGAGATAAGACAATCATATATAATTGGATTGTTCTTAAGCCAATTAAGAGTACATGTGTAAGGATAATTAAAATGAAATTAAACATCCTCTGTGGTAACACATTTGGTTCAGCTGCTTTGTCTTTGTTCCAACATTTTAAAACATATTTTTGCTTAGGTAGACTTCTTTGAAATAGATCTTCTATTGGCTTTGTCATGAAAGAAGTGACTGTCTGATGCTTCCTTTTTTCTATGATGCTCTTCAAAGATTTTGAAGCATACTACATAGTAACAGTATGGGTCCTACTTCTTACATTGCTTGACATGGAATATTTTTCAGAATTCTTTACCTTTAAAAAAATTTTCCCAATGTTCCCCTCCAGTCAGAGACACTCTCTATAAATTACCTGAATACTTTTATATGAGACTATTTAGACTATGTAATAGAGTTAAACAAACTCCCTTTTTGGTTTCCCAGCATTTCTTTAGCTCTTGTCTCTTCTTCAATTGCTGAAAAAAGAAAGATCTTCCAACTTCCAAATTCTCTCTGTGATGATGTAGGGTTTTTATTTTTAATTGTGAAATATTTCAAAAATACAGATGCTAAGAAAATGACCCATCAATATACCTATCAACTTGACTAAAAAATGTTAGATTTTTTTAATTCAACTTCCAAAAATTTTTGTGTTGAGATTGATGATTCTATTTTCTCATATAGTACTTATTTTGGAATAAAGATTATAATGATTTTATAGAATGAAATTAGAAACTTGTTTCTTTCCCTCTTCTCTGAAATCTATGCTATAAAGTAGTGGAAGAGCTTCAGAGAGGAGGTACAGAAAGAGAGTCTCCAGGCCCACATCTCTAGTACCATTTTTAATTTGTGGTTTGTGTATATGTGCTAAGGGTTGCTTGCTGATCCATTTAATAATTTTTTTTTTACAAATGCATTCATATTTTCTATTTTTAAACTGTGGAAATTCATCAACTTAAAATAATTTATTGCTCTACAAATGTACTGACAAAAGTCAGAGTATTATATTGTGCTCTAGGTCTGTTTTTAATCACATCTACCTTTTAAATCTGTGTTATATCCAGTATTATGTTCTTTTAAAAATTCCTGCACATAATCATGCCATCTCTCACTAGGAATATCAGTTTTCATTAGTTTAATTTCAAAAAAGAAACAATCTGTTTGTTATTGACTATCTTTGTTCTTTTCTGTTTCATGAGCGTCTACTATTATACTTTTTATCTCTCCCTTCTTGAGTGTTCATTCTTTGGTTGATTTATGAAGTTCAGGACTTAGATAATCTTGAATTATCAATCTTTCCCCCCATCCTTTGATATGTGCAATTTATCTTTAAAGCCAGTTGAGACACATTTTACATATTTTTGTCATTATCCCTTAAGTTTCTATTACTATGTTCCCTCCTTAACTTGTGAAGTATTTACAAGTATGCTTTTGAATATCCAAATATGCAGTAGATGTGTCAAACTTTGAAGAGTTGCTATCTTTACATTATGATATATAACTTTATTTCTCTCTGGACAGAGAGATGAGATTTTATATTAACTCTTCAGTGTTTGTTAAGACTCATAATGGTGATTTATTTTTTTCTTGCTATTTCTTGAGTTTTGAAAAAAACAGTTGAGTTCTCTAAAGGCTCTGTGCAGTGTTCTTTGTTAAATTCATTGGTACAAGAGTGATAATTGAGTTGTAAAAGCCCCCCATGTTTGTAAGATTATTTTTAAAGCTGAGCCATCAGTTTTTAGTAATATATGTTAAGATTCCCTTCTAGATTTTGACTTCAGTTTCCTTGTAGTTCTCTCACTTTTACATTTTGAGGCTGTCACATTTAAATGGATGCAGGTTCAAGGTCATGATATGTTTCTAGTGAATCGTTTCTTATACATTTATAGAATGACTGTTCTCATCCCCAATAATGTTTTCTATATTTGTTTATCTTTCCAATGTTAATCTTATGTTATTGTGTGGGGGGGATTGTTGTTGTTGTTTGGAATTTTATATTTGTATTTCTTAGTTTATTTCCTAATTTTTATTCTTTCCATGTAATTTTTGTTTTGAGCCTATCTCTCAAAAGCAGCATGTACCTGAATTTTATTAAGTCTAACATAAAAATCAAGTCACGTTTATCGTGATTATGCTGGAATTTTATTTTTTCTCTTTTTATGCCTACCCTTTGATTTACTAAGTTTTCCTTCCATCCATTTATTTGGAGGTTATAATTTTCTTCTTTCTATGTTACATGTAAAAAATAAAAAAAAAATTAGTTCATATGTGTCTTGTTCGCAATGTCAGTGTTTTGTAGTGCTCTCGTTTGAGTCACATCTTCCCACTTTGCATGCAAAATTACTGTGAAGTATTTTATTTCCACATTGTCTTAACTCATCTGTCATTCGCATTATTTTTTACAATTAGTGTTTGGAGCAATCCATACCTATTATACTTATTGTCTTTTAGTTTACTATTGCTTCTGCAGCCCTGTCATTCCTTCCTTGACAGAATTTCTTTATTTGGCAAGAAGATCCACTAGTGGTTATTTCAGCAAGATTCTCAGAGGACTAGAATTCAATTTTGGGCACTGAAAATGTCCTTATTTCATTGCCAATTTTTGAGAGACAGTTGCAGATGAAATTCTACATTGTCATTTGTTTTCTCTTGGCCCTTTGAAGCTATTCCAGTGTCTTCTTTTATTTATTCATAAAGTTTCTATCTTATTGTCATCTCTCTAGAGATAATGTATCTTTTCTTCCAAATGGTTTTTAAGATACTCCTTTTTATTTTGGATGTTTGGACATTTCAACCTATCAGTTAGAGGAATGGAAATGGGCATTTATCTTTCTTGAGATTAAGTTGCTTTTTCTGAGAACTCATTTTAAAATATTTAAAATATCTCATTCATTAACTAACTATTCAAATGTTGCCTCTCTGCCATACTCTGTTTTTTCTTTCTGAAACCCCCATAGATATACACTGTGACTACTTATCCAGGTCTCTGTATTTCTGCCCTATTCTAAATTGRCTCATCATTTAATTCAATTTTATCTTTTCGGTACTGGTGAGTGAACCAAAGGCCTTAAGCATGCTAGCTGTCTGTTCTACCAGTAAGCTGTATCTTCAGCCATTTTTTTAAACTTGTTCATTTGAATTTATTGATTGCATTATTTTTATATTCTACCCTTTATTATTATTATTATTATTATTATTATTATTATTATTTTATTATTATTTTGAGAGAGGGCTTCAATGAATTTCCCACTATGTCCTGGAACATGAGATCCTCCTGCCTCAGCCTTACTAATAGCTGGGATCACTAGGGTATGCCACCATACCCTGAAGACTCATCATATTTATACTACATTCTAGATATTTTCTTCAGTGCTATCTGATTATTATTCAATAATTATTTCCTGCTGTGTCCGCTGAATATTTGTGTTTATTTCTAAAAGCTAAATTTCATTTCTGGAAGTTCTGTTTAAGATATGACCATTCTTTTTATCATATAGTGTTCTGTTTATCCTTTTTAAAAATATTTCTTGTTTAATTTTTTCAAACAAAAGATTAATAAACTTTCTCAGTGAAGGGTTAAAGGGCAAATACTGCACGTTTTTCAGACCATTGTATCTGTTAAAACTCTGCAATTCTGTATTATAGTGCAAAGCAGACATAGACAGAATATAAATAACTGGGCATGATTATATTCTAGCAAAAGTGTATTTATCAAAACAGGCATTGGACTAGCAGTAGCTCATGGATCATAAGTTGCTGACCTGTGATTTAAAACATGCTGTTTATAATGACAGGTGAGCAGATCTCTTAGCTCAAGTAACTAAGCATAGTCATTCTTTTCCTCAGTGTGTCAGCTGACTGTCCCTTATGGTGAGTCATTTTGTAGTTTGTTATGATTTTGAGTTGTGAACTCTGCACGTGGTTTTCTGTTGGACATAAGTGTGCCTTGAGTTGTGAAATTATCCTTCAGAGTTCATTTGTGTTTCAGATCTTGCAGCTAATATTTTTTATCAAGATTTGCTTTGTAAATTATCGCCTTCAGAAATACACTGGATAGCAATTTTCTGAAATAACCCAGTATTTAGTGTACTACTTGAAACATGGTGAACACACAGCTACTATTGTTGCCATTTTCTCTGTTAAAATGAACAGCATCTGGCTGGGGATGTAGCTCAGTGGAGCATTTGCCTAGTGTGCTCGAAGTTTGGTTTCCAGCACCACCAAAAATAAAAATGAACATAACGTCAACAGCATTTTTGTTTCGTTGTCATCATGGATTATCAGTCTTACAGAACTTATATCAATTGTAGTTGTTACCATTTATGCTTCCAAAGTTTCTAAAATTCTGATTAATTAAAAGTTCCTCAATAAAATGTTTCTTTATTGGGACATCCTTTGAGTTAAAAAAAAAAAATTAGAAGACACTGAGTGAAATGTTTCTTATGGAAATTAAGGCTTGCCAGTGCCAGACAAACATAATTAAAGGAGCTTTGTAGATTTCTCTTCTTAAAATATCGTTTTCAAAGGGATAGAATTAAACATATGATTGAATATATATATATATATATATATATATATATATGTTCAATATATACGTATATGTGTGTGCATGTGTATTTTCCTCAATCTGTAGTAAATTCGTACCTCTTGCTTGTTCATCACAGGACACTTGAAATGGACCAAAGCTGAGGACATTGACATAGAAACCCCAGGATCTATTCTTGTCAACACTAACTTGAGGGCATTAATAAATAAACATACGTTTGCTTCCTTACCTCAGCATTTTCAGCAATATCTCCTGCTTTTGCTTCCAGAAGTGGATAGGCAGGTAAGTAGAAGTTTTAGACATTTGATATCAGTCACTAGTCACATTATGAAGTGGCAGGTCTGTTCTCAGAGATGACTGATATCTCAATGGTCTATTTTGTCATAATGTAGTACATATATATATATATATATATATATATATATATATATAAAATTTATTTATATCTACTTATTTATTGCTGTCATTGGCTTAGTTGTTTAATCTGCCAAGAATGGAACCATGTTTTTGTTCTTAATAGAGAGCCAGTTCTCATTTTAAAATGCAGTGTTCTGCGGTAGAGTGAAAACTATAGACCTCCACCCCGGGAAGGGAAAGCAAAGAAATCAAACATTCCACTATCAAATAAATCTTTGAAGTAGCTGCTCCTTTGCCTGGAGGGAATATTGAAATTCAGTAATAAAAAGCCAGGGTTTCTAAGAAATTATGTAAATGTTTTTATTCTCAACTCTTTCCAAAAGGCATTTAAAATTTATGTTTGCATTTGCTTTCTGAGAGTCTATCATCATGAATATGATTGCCTATAAATAATCACCTTTTATCTTTCTTTTTAGTGTAACTGGAAATGCTCTAAGTATATTTTTGAAAAGCTTCTAAAAATAAGGAAATACAAATATAGGCCCGTAATAGCAGGCATCAATCATCTTGTAAAGCCATTTCCTTAGGAAAGCAAAGGGAAAAAATTTTTCATCACATAAACTTTTATTAAGTTTCACAGAAATTATTGAGTGGTATCTTGAAACATTCTTCTGTTATTCTCATTTCATTAAATTCTGATGCTGTATATTGTTTCCATTTGATGGACTTAATTAATAGATGTGTATTTATGAATTTGTATTTTGAAATGATAGGTACATTCATGGGCAGATCCATATTACCTTATAGAAGTTTTCTTAGGTTTTTATTAGTTTCTGTTTTCTATTATCTTACCCATCTCCTTTCATAATATTTAAATATGATAAGCAATAGTTTGTTACAGTTCCCATGAATCTCTTTGGTGGTGATTGTTGTTCGTACTAAGAAAAAGATTATTTTGATTTCCAGATACATTTTCATTTGGGAGTTTGCCTTCACTCAACAAAAATTTACTTACCATTCACTGTGAATATATTTTATGTGCTTTGGGAAAATAGAAAGATAGTATATGCTTAATGAGCGGTTATGGAATTAATGATTGAATATGCTCCAGTTGGATGCATACACTTTTTTGTGAATAACTAAAACATGAAGTAGAGACAGATAAGCTTAGAGGAAAAAGACAAAAATGAATTGCGTTTGGTTTTTTTTTTTTTTTGGTACTGGGGATTGAACCCAGAAGTGCCCACATCCTCGGCCCTTTTGCAATTTTATTTAGAGACAGGGTCTTGCTGAGTTGCTTAGGGCCTTGCTAAATTGCTAAGGCTGGCTTTAAGCTCATAATTCTCCTGCCTCAGTCTACCAAATCTCTGGGATTACAAGCCTGCACACTCTGGCACTCTGCAGTGAGTCACGATTTTTATGCAAAGGGAAAAATCAAGAGACAAATTCAAGATCCTTGAATTGAATGTTGATGTACACATAGAATATGAATAAAGTAGGTGAAAAAGTACCAAGAAAGGCCCAAAGATATAAATGTCAAAAGCTAATTTGGCAGGGGTTCTGGAATGTAGGAAGAACAGAACAAATGTTTCTGGAAACACATTGGGAGTAGATTTTGGAAGAGTCTCCAGTTTGAAGCTGGAATCTGAACTGTACTCCCTTAGTGTCTGCTGTAAGAAGCCACTGAGGGCCTTTGGGTAGAGCTTTAATGTTGCTTGGCCAGACAGTATTCTGGCAGTACTGAGAGGCGGGGTTGTGATGGGAAACATGAGAGTGGAAAGAATAGCTAGTAAGCAGTATTAGTTATTTCCGAAAGTGGCACACTATGGCCTTTGGGGGATTGACCTTGAAATTACAGAGGAGGAGGAGAATGCAGTCATCAGCCTCCTTGTCACTGTCACTGTCACCACTCCTCTTCCTAGCAGGTTTTTTTTTTTTTTAATTATTATTTTTGGTCCTGGAGATTGAACTCAGGAGCTTTCCAACTGAGTTACATCGCCAGTCATTTTTTTTTTTTTTTTTTTTTTTTTTTTTTTTTATTTTGAGATGGGTTCTCACTGAATTCCTAAGGCTGGCCTCAAACCTGTGATTTTCTTGTCTCCCGAGTAGCGGGGATTACAGGCCTGGGCCACCGAAGCCAGCCTCCTGGCAGTGTTACGTTTTTCTTAAGCATTTTAAATTTTTTATTCCTATAGCTTTATTGAGGTAAAATTGAAGTACAATAAAATGCAGAGTTTTACATTTTGTTAAATAACCCTTGAAGCAAGATAAAAGGAGGAGTCATTGTTGATTCTCTGGTTACGAGCATGCTTGAGAATAGGTTCAGATGTCTAGAAAAACTTCTTGAGAGGATTGACTTATTAGCTTAATATCTTGTTTTGAGTTTTGTCTCTGGCCCCAGGAATAGAGTTTGGCATATACAAGGTGTTCAGTAAATATTTTTGGAATGCAGAAATGACATAGTGTCCTAGGGTTAGCCAACCATTCAGTAAGTCAGGAGGCCAGAATCCAAGCCTAATATTTTATTCAAGCTGCAGCAGTTTATGTGACTCAGTATTTCTCTAGTTACTCTGAGAAATACACACAAATAAGGCATAATTCCTCTCCTCAAATAACATTTAGTCCTTTGGGAAATTACTTATTTATTCAAGAAATATTTACAGAGCATGTATTGCATGCTGTTTGCTTTGCTAAATACAGAGGATACAAGAAAGGATCTTGGGAAGGACTAACAGGAGAAAGGCAATCTCATACTGAAATATGCTACACTTGGGAAAGAAGGTTAATTACTAGGTAGGTCTATACCCAAGGTCATATAAGATGAGGCTAAATTACATAAATGTTAGAATAGAAGTATGAAGAAAGTTCTCTGACAGCACAGATGTAACCTGAATGTAGTAGTACTGGAGAGGATTTTATGATAGAGATGATGTTTAAGTTGAACCTGGAACTTCTTCCAGCCAAAGGAAAGAGCATTTACACATGGAGGCATGGCATTTCCAAAGACCCGTTGCTTATTGTCCTCATTGATGCAGTGGGTTTGTAGGACTAGAATAGTCCACAGGAGAGTGGTGGGATACCTTGTTGAGGAGATTGTTCTATAACCTCAGGGACCTGCTTCCAGTCAGCCACGTATTTTAAACCTTTTCTGAAACCATTAGGTTCCATCAAAGGGTTTGCAAATGAGAAGTGTCATGCATAGAATAATTTAAACAAATATTTTAGTGTCTGGACAGAGGGGAGGGCAAGAGATTACAAAGAATAAATAAATAAAATATAGTTGTTATTTTCCTTAAGGGAGCCAGTAGCCCTGTGAATGATGGATTGGAAAGGCAGAAAGATAAGGCACTGGGAGATGGAGAAGAGACAGTCTCAGTAGCTGGGATAAGAGATAAAGGTCTGACCTTGTACATTGGCCTTGAAAATGAAAAGAATGAATTCCAAACGTATTTTCAACCCAGAATTAGTAGGAATGAGTGACAGATTGCCTATAGTATGGGGTTAAAGGTGTGGAAGGCAACTGAAGATATTATCTAGGGTGATTGGGAAGGACAGAGGCTCTGTGGCATTTGAAAACAAGAAGTTCAGAGGTCATTCTCTCTCCCCTACTTCCTCTCTGCCTCTACTCATCTCCCTCCATCTTTTCTTGAAGACTGTTTGTCTTAATTATGTTTTTTCTCTTTTAAATATTCTTTTAATTGTCAATGGTCCTTTACTTTGTTTTTATTTATATGTGGAGCTGAGAATCCAACCCAGTGTCTCACACATGCTAGGCAAGTGCTCCTCCACTGAGCTACATCCCCAACAGGGAGGGTTGTAGCGCGCTCTCGCTCTCGCTTGCTCTCTCTCTCTCTCTCTCTCTCTCTCTCTCTCTCTTTTACTTCTAGTTGTTTTATAACATTGTTACATCTAGTTTTATACTTTATATTACTGTTCATGAATTATATATTGCAAGTAACAGAAAATCTAACTCAAACTGACTTTCAACATAAATGGGATTTATTAGCTCAGGTAAGTAGAAGACAGAGGTTAAGGTGTAGTTTTGGTTATTAGTCCTGGCATTCAATTATTATGAAGGACCCATTTAATTATTATTCAAATAGTTAATTTTTAAAAAAATCTACCTTCTTGTTGGTAGTATTCTAAATCTGACTCCCTTTGAGATGGTATAGCTACCTGAATTAAAAAAAAAAAAAAAAGACAATTGCCTCTTGGTTTGTGTGCATAGGGAGAACATATCTGTCCCAATATTTTAAACTAAAGACCTAAGATTCACACTGATAGTGCTGCTGAGATCACATGACTATTTCTTAAGCAGTGACTCCAGCCAAGGTAATGGAATACGCGACTTGGCTTAAGCCAGCGAGACCTGCTCCTGGAGTGAAAAGGTATAATTATGTTAGAGTTCAGAGATGTATTAAAAATCTGATATTTAGGAAGTTTTATTGTTAGAGGATATGTGATTGGTGGGGGTATAGATGCTTTTTAGGCAACTAATAGTACCCGCTGAAGTGGAGTGGAAATTGAGTTTGGTTTTTAACATGTTGGGTTGAGATAATGTCTATTGAATGAAATGTCCAGAAAATGATGTTGTATTTAGGTTTGAAGACTGGAGAAGATGGTGTTCATGATAAAACGTATATAGATTATTATATCAGCCATGGATTTGATGAGATTGTCTTTACAGAGGAACACATACATTAAGAAAGAGTATGAGAAGCAGCTGGGGAACAGAGAGAAAACAGCAAATCCACGGGAGACCATCAGTGTGGAGAGCATATACAGATTTGGGTTTCCCCCCTTCAGTCTTTGCTTTCCGCCAGAAACAAACCTGTGGATGAAATCCTACAACAGGATGACCTGTGCCCTTCATCTTCTTTTTTCTCTTCTTAATTTTGAAATAGTTATAAACTTTTAGAAAATTT